TACAGAGAAATAAAGACAGGAATGATGCCCAACAAGGGGAGAAAATTAAATACTTTCTGGTGGTTTCTGGTTGTAGACAAATTCAGAATATTTAATAGATATGCTCCTCTTAGGAGAATAACCAAAGCAGCAGTGATAAGTAATGTTTTCAGAAGCCAGCCCATCGCTTAGGATAGAAACCGCCTGTCCACAAGGAATTCAGAAACCTGCATTGGCTGCAAGTTGGGGGATTGGAGACCTTGCTGTCAGGGAGCAGCAGAGTGAGGTAGCTCCCTGGGGCTAGGGCACTGGGGGGTCCCCCAGGTGGGTCATGGCAGGGCCAGCCAGGGGAAGGGCAGCCAGGGGCCACTGGGGCAGCGCCAGCCCTGGGTGTCAGGCACCTCCCTGGGGACAGGGCCAGGCCGAGGCCGGGCGGGATGTGGGCCTGTGGATGGGCCTGGCTCGGCGGGGCCCATGGCCAGGCAGGGCAGGGCTGTAGAAGGCTGGAGACCGGCCCTGCTGCGGGGTCGCCAGGGCAGGGACTGACAGCCCTGGGGGGCTGAAAAGCCATGGGCAGGGTGGGGGCAGCCCCAGGGGGCTAGGGAGGGCTAAGTGACGAGTGCAAGCTGTGTTAGTCTCTAGCGGTTAACTAGGCAAACTGTTGGTCTGCAAAGTCGTTTTTAAAATAGGGTTTGGAGTCTAAGGTGAGATTACTTAGGGAAGCAAGCTGAAACAATTTAAGAAGGAAAAAAAAAAGTTTCTTTAAGTAACAGTTAAAAAGTTAATATCACAGATCAATATATAATTATTAGATGAGGTGGACTATCATAGAAACTAAGACCTACTGAAAGATATTTTCAGTAATGTTTTCATAGTCATAGTTAAAACCTCTGATACAGAAATCAGAGAGCTGTGTTCCAATGTTTGGCATATTTCCCTTCTATTTCTTTTTAATGCTCGTTACTCACCTCAACATTATGAGTAATCATGTTTCGGTTTGTGATGTGTTTGTATTTCTTTTTAAATTAAGAGACTCCTGCAATGTTCCAACTTTCTGTCTCTGACTGTCACAGCAGGGGAAAAAATAATACCACATTTTGTGTTTATCTAAGCTATTTATTCACGTTACTACAACGTGTGAGTGTCTTATCCTCTAGTGTATATATGTTCTTGCAGTAGTCATTGGCAGAGATGGTGGCATCTCATTGAAATGAAATGTCCACACCCTTTCTAGGGATCTGGGTTGAGATGACTTCCCCAAGTCACACAAGTTAGGTCTGAACTGGTGAACAGAACATGGGTTGGCTTGAGTCTGCATTGCTTAGCGGCATCCCCCTCTCTGTCAAATTAATTTGAAAGAGAAATAGTTACAGCAGTCCCAAGTGGAGAGAGAGAGTCCACTATTGTCCGGCTAGATTTTGCTCCCTTGCTGTCTTTTATAAATCATTATATACATAGCTGCGGAAATACAGTCTTCCAAACCATGTATTTGTAACCTAAGTGGTGAATCACATTTATTCTAATTAGAAATGCTTTTGTGGAATAAACCACCTGTTGTGGAGATGATTTCATAGTACACAGGGAAAAGAAAGAAGTGTGCCATGCTCAGGTACATGAATCTCTCATTAATCTGGTAGGCATTGTCTTAAGCAGGGATTCCCAGGGGCTCTCTTCAGCACAACACATATTGCAAATAAGCGTTTGAGAGAAGCCTTGATATTTTTCTACTTGGGCCAATTTGTACTGAGATGGAAGTATTAAAGAAGACAAACAGTTGTTTAATCTTTACTTTACAGAAAAAACTGAAATATAAACCAACTGACAAAGGAAAGGCCCTTCTGTTATGCAGAAGTGCTATGCAAAATCCTCCTATGTGAATTTAAAATTCAGCATTAGAAATTAAAAGGCGTTATATTTCAAACAATATAAGAAATATCAGGAAGTAGGGAAGCAGGAACTTCTCTTAGCTTTCTCTTGTTTTCAGTTGTTGCCTTACAACTGCAGTGTAGAAGATCCAGCTGCAAGTTGAAGGCTTTCAGTGTTTATTAATACCCAGATAATTTTCTTCTAATGACATTCCTACTTGTATTTTTCAACTGAAGTTTGTTGGGTAACATCATGTTTAGCAGGAATTACATATAATTGGTTGGCTGTGCAATCAGCTGAGAATCTTTTGTGTTTCTTAACTTTTATTAGTTGTTAGATGTAAAAGCCCTTTGATTCAAAATGTACCTGGATTTTCTTCACTGATGACAAGTACAAATAGTTGTTTCTTCACAACAAAAAATATCTGAAGTTATTAATTTTTCCAAATGTTCCATGCATTTTGTGCTATCACAGTGTATTTCTGAATGTGTTTTTCTGCAGTATGGTATTGGAATACCATGTCTATGTTGATATTTGGGTTTTTTGAAGAAAGCTTACTTTTAAAATTCTACAGCAGTTCCTTATTCTGTTGATTTCTTACCTATGTAACCAATTTCTTAATTGGTTCATAATTTCATAATTCCAGTTATGAATACAGTGATTTTTGCTGGGATCTCTATATGGTATACCTGAATATGCCTTTACATATATGCATGCAGAGTTAAAAGGAGAGAATGAGGATGGAGATTCTTCTGATCTTTTTCAGTTTGGGATAGTTTTAACTCGAGTTCCTTATAGCTTCATAAACTCAGCAAATTTGTCATTTTCCTGGGCATACAAATTTTCTCCTGGGTTTCTTGGGGCTTTTTTCCCATAAATTAGAGACAATTTTTTTGAGGCAAATGTTAACTTTTGCAAACACTAACACTTAGGAATCATCTTACCAAAAAAGAAACCTGCAACAAGAGAAAACAATTCTGATTGTTTCTGAAAACTTAGAATGCAGCTAACCAGGGTTAGAATACCAGAATACCTACTATTCTTGGTTTTAGGAATAAATCACTTCAGAGAACATTTTGACTTTGTAGGAAGTTTGGATCCCTGGCATTTTACATTGAGTGAATTATTCCTTTGTTAATAGAATACAGTATTATTCTGAGGATAAGACGACATGTAACCGGAATTTTGCCCATCACTACTCTAAAGGAAAGGTGTCCTATAAAGGCAAAGCCAAACAAACAGACCCTTTTCTTTGCTTCTTTTTTTCTTTCATTTTCAAAATTTAAAAAAATGGGTCCATAGTGGTGACCCAGTTTTGTTTTGGTTATTCCGTCAGGTCTTCTTGTGGCTCAGATAAGTATATGGTGCATTGACTGAAGTTACACTGAAGTTTTTATGAGCTGACAATTTTATTACACTTCCCGCTCCCAACCCCCCCTATAGGGCAAGATAGAAATTATATGCGATACCATCATTTCATAGATTTAATACACAAGATGAAAAATGTCATCAAGCCCCATATGCTTACTCGTTTTACAAATAGCAAGCTAGATAATTTCAAAGGCAAGACAAAGACCTGGCAAAAAAGGTACAAGGAGAGAGTGAGAAAATAGCAGCACCTCTGTATCTTATGATTTAAGTCAGAAAAAAGATTATTTGTACCTTCAAAAGCCTTTTTTTTTCTCTATCCAACCCTAAATGATTTCTGAACTGTGAATGGAAAGGAGGCTGGAAACTGACACCTTGTGTTCCATTAATTAAAAACAATATCTGGCATTCTGCTTCTGCTTTGTTCAGATTCTGTACAGAAACTTAGTAATGCCACACTGCAGGTATTGAGAGGTAGTCAGGGCAGTGGGATAAGAATAAGAATGAGTTCTTAAAATTAGAAAGTTTCCTTTCTGATTTAACATCACCATATAAATGCAGAATACCTGAGGCTGTTCATTTCTGCATTATCACTTTGTCCTCATTGTGCACCTCAATAAATACGTTCTGTTCTCAAAGGCGTTTTAAGTAAAAAAAACCCACAAAGCCTCTCAATCTATCAAAAAATCACCCCTCCTTCTCAGAGAACACATGTTCATTTTTAATCTAAACAGGGGCAGTTCTTTAAAGTCAAGTTAGAAGCACAGAGTCTTAATGGGTAGCTGTTTCATGTTATCTCTTAATATATCAGGGTAATTAGTAACTTTTCATTCCCACCCCCACCCCCACCCCCAATAAATGTAAGCTTTATTCTACTCAAGGAGGGGTATAATATATTTAACATGTATTTTATAGCACAAATGCTATAAATGTGTGTTAGGAACAATGAAAATGCTGGAAGAATCAGTCAGAGTTCATTACTTCATTATAAATAATTGAAATACAAGCAAATTAGGTGACTTTCTAATTAAAAACAAACAAACAAAAAACAGAGAAAATGTCTGTGTTTTGTTGAGGGATAGGGCAATCCTGGACAGACATTTGTCACTGCCACACTATGCAGTTTCCTTTTGCAGTAAATGATGCTGTCCTTGCGGGACTGAACTACAATCATTGAAGCAAACCTCAATGTGACTGCTTCAGGCTTAGTTCTTAAAGCAGAGTTTCCAGCAATAAGTGCTCTAAGATAACTACTAGAAGGACTAAAACCAAACCAAAATAAAATAAAAAACACCCTAGTTACTAGAATATTGTTGACTTAGGGGAGTTTTCTAGAATGCACGTAGAACCCAAGAAATCCCAAGCTTAAAAAATGAACTATGCTGGGTGGAAATGACCCTGAACAAAATTATTGAATTGCCACAAATAGCACATGAGGAATTATGGCAAGAGGTGGGAAGGTTAAAAACTAAGTAGAATGGTGCTAACAGTAATATTACAGTTTTTATATCTTATGTGCAATAACTTTTTATGAAATTTAATGTGTCATTTTATATGATTTTATGTGTATATATTCTACAGCTGCACTCCAATTCTGACAAAGGTGATGGATCAGTCAAATACATTCTTACTGGAGAAGGGGCGGGGACTATATTTATTATTGATGACACGACTGGAGACATCCATTCAACCAAAAGCCTAGATCGAGAGCAGAAGACACACTATGTGCTTCATGCCCAAGCTATTGATAGACGGACAAATAAGCCACTCGAGCCTGAATCTGAATTTATTATCAAAGTGCAGGATATCAACGACAATGCACCAAAATTTACAGATGGACCATACATTGTTACTGTGCCAGAGATGTCTGAAATGGGTAAGGAAAACAAATTGTTCTATTCAACAATCTTTTAACAAGTGAAAATGCTACATACTGTTTGACAAAATTATGACACATTATTGTATTGTTGATTGTATGTAAAAGATATTACAGTTGAGAAGAGATGATAAGAAGACATCAGATGCAACCTTGTATGTTACTTGGAACATTCATATTAAGAAAACAGTACACACACACAACCACACACTGGCTGTAGAGGAGAGTCACTCTTATTCTTGAATGCTTTAACAGACATTCCTGGGTAAATGGTACTTTGCACTCTAGAAACAAGATGTATTCATATACCCTCATCCAACTACATACTTTATGGCACTTTTGTGTCTACATGAGTAGTCTATACAATTCACAGAAGTAAACAAATACAAAGGAACGGTAGTTTTCTAGATTATTTTAGACCATGGTATCATATGTTTATTTACCTTTATTAAGTTTCTTATAAAGTCAACTGAAGTTCAAAAAAGTACTGATCTTCGGTTTTCCCTGTTAGAAGTGTAGTTCAAATATTCTTATTCTTTGAGGTTCTACATTATGCAATCGGTTTTCTTTATTTTTTCTCTGGTGTTGAAATTAATTTATAACTTTCCTCTAATATCACAACATCAAGTCTAGGATAGGCAGATGGAAATAAGACTTTTATGCTAGATATTTTTTTAAGAAAGCTTAACTGTCATGACTGGTCTTTGTGAAATGTTTGCTGTCTTTTATTACTGAATGGGCGGTACAGATAGTTACCTCATGAACACACACTTTTCCCTTTCCCCCCTACACACCCCATCTAAGAAACAACCTTCAAGTCCAAGATATGTCTAACTTTCCCAAGTGAAAAGTACATAATTTTTCTCTCCTTCCTGTTTGTCTAATAAGCAGGTGATAGACTTTAACTTCTGCAGAGTAGGATTTTAAAAATTAAAAGGGAAAAATATTAAAATACATGTAGTTACTCAACTCTCATAACAATGTTGATCATACATATAAGAACAAATGAATATTGTCATTGAATCTTAATGGTTTGTCATCATTTGATCACTTTGAATGGTAATTATAACTCATATGAATAGATCAGAAAATAACAAAAGTGTTTTGTTTCATACTTGAAAGTCAGATACGATATTTTGTTACTCTAATTATTTTGCATGGGAGGGTACTTTGTGCAACTTTCCTAGTGTAGATAGGTGAAATTAATTTTAAGCTGGGAATCTGCATTTGGTTCATCATCTATGGTACCACCTGACATTATTATGCTGAGTTCAGACATATGTGGTTGTGTAATGAGGGAGGTTTAATCTGTTTGTGGAAGTCTGCATGCTGTTTGAACCGCATACAGTTTCACAGTCTAATGCAAAGAAATATTTCATGTGGAGAAACTGTGGCCAAGCCCACAGCTTCCATTACAGATATGCATAGTAAAAATAGCGCATTCCAAACACATTTACAATTCTTTTCTTGCATATACAAATGAAGTGTGGCATATGAAATATTTGCAAACATAGTAGTAGTGATTTGCAAACAAAAGTAGTAAGCATACCAGTCCTGGAAAGACCGAAATATATTAAATCTTATTCCTGAACCATGGAGTTCAGAACTGTGACAGTTTGGAAGCAGAGGCTGATTGTTACACCAGTGGCTTCTTCATTGACCTAAGTGGTGGTAAAGTAGAGAATAAGTATTTTTTCCTATCTACCATGCAAAATCAGATTGCATTAAATGGACTCTTAAGCTTACCAAATATCACGTTTTAAAAGGATATAAAAAATTTCCCCCATTCTCTTTCTTTTCCCCTGACTTCATTACTGCCTTTTCATTCTTTCTCTCACTGCCACTGCTACTACACTGAAACATAGCAATAGTTCCTTGATTTTCTTCTCCAAATGTCCTCCATACGTGATGTTCTGAAAAATAATCTACCTGTCTGCATCATAATTGTCTTGTTCTAATACTTTGTTCTTTGTAGGTACTTGTAGTACCTTTCTCCCTTTCCAGTCCTCTCCTCTCTTCCAAGTCCTCCCACAGTGTGCTATTTCAGATGTCTCTTCCCAGCTGTGGAGAACTCTAAGCCTTTTTTTCCTGTGGTCCCCCTTGCAACAAGAATACATGAAGGGAGAAACATCTTTCTTTGGTCTCTTTTTATTTCCTTCTCTCTTCTTTCATAGGTCATTGTTCCCATATTACCCTTCAACTTCCCTTTTATGAATTTTCATGTTTCCACAGTCTGTTTCCCTCTAACTGGGAATTGCTACCTCATCTTTGCTTCTAATTTCTATTTCCCCCTCCTCCCACATTTTTTAATCATTATTTATTAACATTATTATTTCTAATTGCCTCTTCCGCGTCTCTACCAGAAGAACAATCTTTATTAGCCATTCTTGTTTGTTCAATATCTAGCTAATAAAGATTTTCAGATTAGAGATCAAATATATTTTCATTCCTTAAAATCTTTATTAGCCATTCTTGTTTGTTCAATATCTAGCTAATAAAGATTTTCAGATTATAGATCAAATATATTTTCATTCCTTAAAATAATTTGCAAATTGTTTATTGTTCTCTTAAACCATAGCTTCCTCTCAAAAACTGACTTCCTTGATCTCATGTTACTTCTCAGAGCTACAAACATGTAGATCTCCATTCGATCTACACAGTGATGCTAGTGTGTATAACAGGACATGTTTTTAATGTAGAATTCCCTATTTTAATCATCTAAGCATACTATTGCAAATATCATTCCCACGAGAAATTTATGGAAGTACAGAAGGGCAGTATTTCTGTGAGTAATGTTGTAACACCAGGACTATTTAAGCAATGCACCTTTGTGAGAAGTACTACAGTGAGGGGATAGAGCTCCCAGTAAGAATATTGTGGGCCTGTATGAAACCTCTTCAGTTGTCTTCGATAATTCACTGTGGCACAAGGCTTTACTGGTAGGGTTGCAATTCATTTCAGTAACATCTAAGCTCTTATCTCAGTTGTCTCTCGTCACACCACAGACTGTCTTGATGTGAAATTAATTTCCTTTATCGACTGTCTCCAAAAATGCATAACTCTGTCTTCCTCTTTCTTCAGTTTCCTTTGTCTTTAATGGAGACCATTTTAATTAATTGATTTTTTTTTTCCCCTGTGGAAGCCTTTTATTTTCTGCATGGGAGGAAAGACAGTGGAAAGGAAATCAATGTTATCCTCAAAGTCAAAAGTAGCTAATATAATTATTTTTTATTTGTTCATTCTATTTATAAAAGTTCTCTTTTTTTTCATGCTCTCAAAATGTAGTATTCTTACATAGATGTTAGTCATAATTCTGCAGTAGTCTGAATCTTGGTATTACTGTACAACTACATTATACAAGTCACTGTTTTCCAAAGAACAATTTGAATAGTTAGTCTGGGATGGTATTTTGGGTTATAAAACAGAGTGGATTATGGTAAACCAAGGAAGTTTTAGTGATGAAATAAAGCATTAATGCATATGTTTTATAAATGAAATACTTTACTGTTTGAACCTCAGGTAAATAATTAAAATATCTATTCTATAAAGCTTTCCTGTTGTGTGAATAAAACTGAATTTTCATATCCTGCCATACAGGCAATCTGCTATAGGCATACATTATATTTTCATTGCAAATTTATGATCATTACTTTCTTTTTCCCTTATTGATTTGTTTGTGTTTGTTGCATACTGAAAGCATTTTATTGTCTGCAGTCTCAGGAAGACTAATTCTATTATTCCTTCCACAGGATACATTCATTCTGTCAAATAATGGGGATCCCTATGCCATTTTTATTAGTTCTGTAATTAGCACAGGTTTTGACATTTAGCTGTGGAGTCTATACATAACTGAACTTCTTGTTAGTATTTTGTGAATTCCTAAGGATGCTTCACTACTTTAAAAATTTCTTCCACTTTTTTACGTGGTCATTTAAAGAACTTTCAATGTTACTGTCTTTCTGTAACAGCTCTCATGCTGAGTGGCAGGTGGTATTTTTGATCTCTGTTATGCTGTTTAGTTTCAGCAGCAGGTTCTTGTCTGTCTCCTTAAGAAGTCAGCTGGTATTTTTCCCAGAAGTTGAACCTTTCTTGATCTACTTGCAAAAGGTGTAGGACCTTTATGGCTTTTCTTTTTTTAGGTCACTGACAAGAAAGTACAGGTAAGTTTTGTTAAATTATTTGCCAAATATTAGATCACAGTGTTCACTGTGGCACAAAGTGAACATATTATTTACGCTTTATGTACTATGCTGAAAGAGCTGAAAGAAAACACGTATTCCTTGCCTTCATTGAATCTTTTTCCTAAAAGCTGGCTCAGGAACCAAGGTTTTTTGTCTGAAACTATTTCTTCTGCAGTGTAAAAACCTCAGTCTCATTGAGAGCTATAGCTATACTCTGCTTTAAGGTTTATGAAAGAGTCATCATTATCTGAATGCAAAAGGAAATAAAAACATTTTTCAATCAGTAAAAGCCTTCCATATCTTCCATTTTCAGATAGCTTCAAAATGAGTGCAATATTGCATATTAAATTTTCTAGTGTTGAGGTCATGCATAAGAAGAGTATTCCCAATAAATTCTACTTAGGAAATTAATAGACACACTGGACTTTTCTGAACTTCTTCCCAGGGTTTTATAATGTGAGATAGTCATAATTTCAGATAATTTGGAAAACAATATTCATGGTGTTCATAAATATGATTTGTATGAGAAGTGCCTATTTATCTTCCTGTGTTGTTTGATTTTTATCTTCTAATGAAGATAGCTGACGAAAAAATATTGAGATTTTCCACAGTGAGGACTTGGATCAGTAATACAGTCACTGGACTAGAAGTGTTGATTTGCTGGTGGAATCACTATTTTCTAATGTAGAATGAAACTGAAACATGTTGTGTTGAACTGTTAGTGTTTTAAGGCAGTATTAAGAATCGGTTTAGCTAGGCAGGAAATCCCTGTGTTCATTAAACTTCACCTTTTTTTCACTTCTTCTACTTTTTGTTCAGTATTGATCCGTTTGAGATTTTAAGAGTGCAGCAAAATATGGGAAGTCATGCATACAGATTTGCATTCTCAACAGACATGTTTTATTGAACTGCCTCATTAAACATTAAACATTTGTCTTCAGAGAGACAGATTGAAGTATTTCCCTTCAGCTTTTCTTTGATATATAACTTTAGAAAATTTCCATTCTAAACATATTTAAAAAAAGAGAAAAACAAAAGAAGAGATTTTGAAATAAAACTACAATTTGATTTCCCAAATGAAATTATCCTTATTTTTCATAACAGAAAAAAGGCAAAGCTTACAGAGTGGTGTTCAGAGCATACAGACATATTTTACAGCTCTGTATAAGGCATTAGCTAAGAAAACAGAATTCCCAATATGTAATCTCTAAACTGTAGCGGGAAATCATGTGGAATTGTAGTTGTATTCTGAATAAGCAAAGCCTCCACTTTGGGGAAAAAAGACTTTTTTATTGCCTAACTGGAGTGTCAAAATGCTTTCATAGCAAAATTTTGAGTTTTTCTTGACAGGTACTTTCACAGTAGGTTAGTGAAGAAAGTATGTGGAAGGTATGCCTCTGGGTCCGATGTTCATATCTGTTCTGAGGTCTCCAGGGAAATTAGAACCTTATTTTTTGTATTAGATTATTTTCTTCAGAATTGTTAACATTAAAAATAACAAGGCAGCTGTACTGTGTACTTTTCCATATAAATCCTTCATTACACATCGCTCAACAGCAAAAACTGATGCTGCATCTGAATGGTACAAATATATTTGGAATCATGATTTTTCTGTCACGTTGATGAGCTGAATGATGCTAACTTTGAAAGGAGTAATTGGAAGGTAAAGGTGCCATCTTCACCTTTTTTCTCGCAAGGCATTCTAACCCACAGGTTTCACAAGCTGCCTTTCCTCTGTGCTGAGCAAATCAGGCAAGAGTTAGTCAAAAGGCCGGTATGGGTGTATCTTATAAGATGCTGAATGTGCTTGTGTAATACAGTGGAAAAGTTAAGCATCTAATGAACTACATTGCACTGAATGAGGGTTTGAGAGGTGGGGTGGGGGGTTGAGTTAAAGCTTGTGATTCTAAGTGTTCTTTTGGATGGAAAGAGAACACTTGGCCACTATTCAATACTATTCAATACCAAATACCATAATTACTATTATCAGGTGTTTCTTAGGAGAGAGTTATAGATGTATTAGAAAATGACTGTGGCAAATAGTATTCCATTCATGCTAAAATGACCTGTCAGCTGCTTATGTGAGATACCGCCTTTCACTAGCCCTGTTTCTTTGTCCCACATCAATGAGCAATACAAGCATTCAGATTCTATCCCCTACCTTTTAAAATAAGGAGAGGAGAGAAGAAAGTCTCTGAAGAATGAGAGAACCATGAAATCTCAGTATTTCTGGTATTTTCTTCTTCTAAAATAACCAAAATATAGGTAGGTTTTGGAATGGATGAACAGAACTCTGGGAAGAAGTGCAAATGGGAACTCAACCTGTTAGATGACTGTTGGTAACTTTTCCTGGAAGCAGGAAAATCTATAGATAAAAAGGTACAGAAGTTGCCCAGCATTCTGGGTAGCAAACTCTGGTAGGTGATTGACTATACCTATTGGATGGGTATTGGTTTTTGTATGCAATTAAAAAAAATAAAATAATTGTCTAACAGTAACCTATTAATCTTTAATGATTCCACAAGATTCCAACATAAAATAATGAAGCCGTGAATAAAGGTAGAACAACAAATTAGTGTAGACAGGCCTTCACCCTTGAATACAACAAGCTTAACTAGAAGACAAAAAGGTCACAGCTTTTCCACCTCAAGTTAGAAATTATTGCCAAACTGGGCTACAAAAATATGTCATTACAGTATTTAGATAAGCTATAGAATAGGGGAAAAAATGCATTTTCTGTTCTTTGAAGTGACCTGATGTTTGCAGGAACTCTTATTCTAAGTTGAGATAGCAAATAAATATGACTGAATAGATTCCTAGAACATTTTAAGAAAGTTACACTAACTTTAATCCATATTTATTTACCTTGCCACATAAACCCAAATACAGTAATTTAGTCAGTTTTACTGTTAACTTCTGAATAACTATGAACTGACTACTAGCTCCAGCTTGATTTTATTACAGTATTCAACTTCAAATTCATCAAGGTATCCTTATATCTGCTGTGTGAATGTATTTATCTATGAGACTGTATGCATTTGGGCTATTCAGAGATAAGAAGACACTATATTTAAGTATGCAGACACGTTTACTGTACCTTTTACTAAATCTCCAGTAGAGATACAAAAAGCAAGTTTTGGTGTCCAAGTTAGTGTTGCACAAATGAATGGTTTCTCAAACAGTGAAGAATCCAAATCTGCAGAGATTTGCATGTTTGCTTTGCTGTACTCGAAGTGAGACTCCATGATTTTAGGTATTTCTATTCCCAGGGTACACTGAGGGCGTGCACATTAACAAACAGTTCTGTGCAATGGAAACTGATCTATGAAGTTAAACAGTTGGAACTGGGGATCTGATGTCCACAGCATATGTTTTTGGGAAGTCTTATTTCAGACTAGCTCTTGTCTGGTCTCTGAGACTAAATGCCCATTAGCAGTCAGAGTAAATCAGATGTGCTGCTAAAGCACATCTTCTGGTTTAGTTTCATGTGAAGGAATCTAGTTAGAATGCTCTGAAACTGTTCCATGAGGCAAATCAAAGTATGACAAGTGAGGGAGATTAAGGGATTCGATTCAAAAGCATACTTGTCCTCACAACTAGGATGTGAAATTGAACACCCCAGAGTGGAGTTGATGCCTTCGTGGTTAATTTAACTGAGAAGCCACTTTCAGATGCAGAATTACATGAGCGTAGCCTGTTCTGTTACTGTTATTCCTGTATTTTAATGGTGGGCCGAAGGAGTCTGTAGAAAGCGGTGTCTGTAGAAGGATAAACAAGTGGGATGAAGACTGAACCTTTATTAATTTGCCAATTTTTCATTTACTGATTTCTTATGTGAAGTTTTGAAAAATACAGTAAAATTAAAATCACTTGTCTCTATTCTATCTGTGCAGTACTTATGCATTTTATTTTCTACAAAGTGTTACTCATAAGTTAACCCACTTAGTGACATGCTAGAAACTGTGATTTTATTTTTTCTAATGGTATTAACAGCATACAAATATTTGTCTTTTGAACTCCTTATCTTTCTAATTTGGATCCATCATTGGAATTCCAACAATGTTCTAGTATTTGTTTCATTTTCAGATCTTTGATGCCTTCCGATAGCTAGATTTTTCGATTCCTTTATAATCTTTTATTGATTTGGGGGCGTTTATGCGAATTATTTTAAATATGCACTTCAACATTAATTAGTATGGTGGATGAAGATAATCCTGAAGTCCATAAGTATGAGTTGTCCAGAAGTCTAAGCAATATCCAAGTTTGTGGTCTGTATGTGTCAACATGCATAAATATGCATGCTATGTAGTTGATATTTATGTTTATATATATGTAATTAAGTTACATATACATACATAGAGAGAAAGAGAAAAAGATTTTTTCAAATAAGTATAAATAGTTTTCCTTAAAAATATGATAGGATAATAACATATGGAGAAAATGTTATTAATCTCTCATTTGTAGAATGTGAGGACTGTAGAGGTTTCAAAAGTGCATCTAAAATATTTATATTTGTCAGAAAATTATATTTATGATCAATTAACTTTTATTTTCCTGTATATACAGGTACATCTGTTCTACAGGTGACAGCCACAGATGCAGATGACCCTACATATGGAAACAGCGCCAGAGTAGTGTACAGTATTCTTCAGGGACAGCCATATTTCTCTGTTGACCCTAAAACAGGTGGGTATTTTATGTTTCTGTCAGTGTGATTTGGCTAGTATGTTGTAGTTAACTAAGTCTGGTAGATGAAATCCAATGTACAAAATGCAGGTAGGCGGGATTTTATTTTTAATTCCTATTATATTCTACTTCTTGCTTTAACACTATGAAATTTGGGAGTTGCTATGTTTTGCTGAGTACTGAAATGAGCCTACTGTGTACAGAATTAATTCTGCATCACGCCATGATGTGAGCCATTCAGCCAAACTGGAATAGTTTCATCTTTTCAAGCCTCTGTTTAGGAAGTGACTCGAGTGTGCCTAATACATTATGATTTTAAATGCTTTATTTTGCCTGAAGGATAGGCTTGGGAAGATTATTTAATGTGTGCTTCAACACATATACCATAATAAATTAGTATCATTCTTGTATTTATAAAATTACAGTATTGCCATTTCACTGAAACTTTATTCTATGATTCAAGAAGCAGAATGAGCTGAAATATTTATGCTTAAACTCTATGCCTTCTCCTTTTTTGCACAAAGTGTAAGTTATGTATAATGAATCCAAATTGGTTTCTTTAAAGAGAGAAGAAATCTCTTTTGTGGATGGGGGTTGTTACTCATTTTGGATTTTCTGAAGAGCATTATCTTAAATATTAATATGATGGTATATTTTTAGTGTGCATTTATAGTCCTTAATAATGAGGAAATATAATTTAAGAACGTACTTTTTTCATCTGAGTTTTGTAACTATGTTTCCCTGTCTATATCAAAGCTTTAATACTGAGGGGAAAGAATGAAATACAGTGATCCCTACACTTAACTGTAGGGAAGAATAATGATTTTTAAAATGTGCTGAAGTGAAGTAAGTATAGTGTAAATAGTTTTCATTGTAATGTTTTTACATTTAAGTGTCTTATGTTTTTACACTTAGGTGTCTTTGCTTGTGTACGTTAGTTTCTGTGGAACTTGGAAGCATACGCTTGCTTCATTACCAAGAGAAGTGTATCTGTGCCATCTCAGCTGGCTTTGAGGTTAGGCCTCCTTTGAGTAGGAGACTGGACTCGATGACCCCCAGAGGTCTCTCTCAACCTAAATTATTCTATAAATTTGTGAACTCATGTTAGAAAGGCCTAAGAGTGCAAAGCCTGACAGGATCATGTTGGAGGACTGTGTGAAGTGCTGGGAGGCAAACCTGATGCAGGCCTGTTCATACATACTGTGTTTTGGGAACAACTGCGGGCACACACCTTACCCAGCTGTGTGTGAGTACAGTCTGGCAGAGTACTAGCTGGCACAGGCTAAAACCACTCTGAGGTATATGTTAACAACTAAGAGGTATGGAAAATCAGTGGTACAGTGCTCAGGCTCTCTCTGCCCTTGTTTTACTTAGAAATACAACGTCGGTCTACATTTCCACTTCTGTTTTGTCACTCTGAGGCAATGGCCTATGCTCTTTATTTTGATAATGGTGTGGAACTTGTAACCTGGAGCTGCTATTCAGTCAGCGAAGAATCATAATGAATGTTCGCAATATCAGGTCTGTGTCATAAAAGAAAATAGTATTGTTATATCACTGTTTGTATGTTTTAAAGAAAGCAGATGGGAGTGTATTTTCACTCCCCAACCCTTAGGCTTTGACAGGGATTTAATAACACTTTATGAATTTAAACTGTTTTTAATGTGAGTATAAAATATGAAAATGTTTCTGATATCTTAGTCTATTAAAATGGCAAAAGAATAAATACCTTATGAGGTAAGTAGACAATGAAACTGTGAAAAAAAATGGAGAAGGCTTTTTGATTTGATAAGTTGTCTTTTTATAATTCCAGAATAGCAGTTAATTTAATTTGGCATGATATAATGGGAAGAAGTAGAATACTGGAAATGATGGGAAAGTCTTGAAGAATAGTGTGTTTCACTATGAAATTTCACTTTGAATTTCTGGGGTTTAAGACACTCATTTTCGAAAAACATCACTCTTCTGAATTTGCAAGCATTTCTGTGACCTATTTTTCCTAAGACTTGAATTGTTCAATTCCATCTTAGTTGTATTTTATCTGGAAGTTTTCTGAATTTACCGTGACATGCACAAACTTCCTTTACAAGAAAGAGGTAGAAGGGCCAAAACAGGAGAAAAGACAGAGAAAGGTCCCAACATTCATGACTGAATGTAATGTTTGTGAAGCCTAAGGATCTCTTATGGCTATCAGTAAAGCTTCTTGGAGCTATCAGATGCAGACATCAAGCTGTTCATAGCTCTAGTGTGAATACTCATCCTAAGGAGTCTTCTGCTTCTAGCTTAGTGCTGCCTAAACTTGGTTTTAAACAACTTACTATCTAAAGACTTTAAAATTATGGATTTTTAGGAGCTTAGTTTAGAATAGTTTATAGGATTTTAGAATTCTTACATCTAAAATGTAATAGTAGGCCAGCACCAAATTACAAACTTTGAAGTAAAAAAAGCTGTGTTCTCAGCGTAACCTCTTTGTTAGCTTACTTGACAAAAGGCTCATCTCTACACACCCAAAGAGGAGGGCAGAGGTGTGGCACTGGGAGAGTAACCCCCCCGCCCTAATTAGAGACTTGAGCCTGGGCTTGTCCCAAGGCTGTCCCTGGGCTATGGCTGAAACCCATCGTGAGGAGTGAACAGGAGATGCTGTCCTGATCACCCTTCAGACTGAGGCAGCTTCTGCCTACAGGGATATGGGACACATTACGGGATGCAGGGAAGAGCATTATGGTATTGTACTAGATCTGTTCTGGAATGTTTAGAGGAAGAACCACAGTCAGGGAAAGGGAGGAACCGAGATGGATTAGGGAGGAAAAAGCAAGCAAAAATACAGGGATAAGGGAATAAAAGGTGCCAGTCGTGTATAAACAGGCTCTTGCTCAGTACTATTATCTAGTCATGCCCTGTGCTTAGTCAGCACAGTCTGTCCTGTATCTTCTTATGCTCCACTTCTAACTTTTCTCTGAGTAAAGGGATTCTCTGTATGCATGCATTAGGAGGTTTAAGTGCCGGTGACTGGAGCTGGACCACAGGTCAGAGGGTCCTGTGTGTCTGTAGTGCCAGCGAACTGGAGAGTACAGAGTGTGTGTGTATTGCGTGGGTGTGAATGTCAGTGTGGGATCACTACTGAGTATCAGGCTGGAGTAGCCAGCAAGTTGGGTGAGCGGCTTGGATGCCAGGTATCCACGTGGCCAAAAGTCTGGGCCAGGTACTGGAGAGACCAGAGGGTTCACGAGTCAGCTGTTGTAGGGGCTCAGAAGTCCCGACTGACTGTGGGAGCAACTGTGTGGTCTGTGGGTTGACTGAGAGGCCTGTTTGCATCTGTGTGTCTCTGTGTATGAGGCAAGGGGAGACCAGGGAGCCAGGAGCCAGCTCCTGGATAGCCTGGGTGTCAAAGCCAGCTCCTGAGAGCCCGTAATGTATAGGTAGGGGTGTCAGTGGGCATGGAAGGTAATGCTGGAGGGTCCAGGGCCAGTTACTGGATACATTTAGTGTCTAAGGCCCTTTACTGGGGGATACATAGTGTGCAGGGGTGGGTGGGCATGTGTGAGTATGTCTGGGATTAAAAGGGGATCTGTACCAGCAGCTGGAGGGGAGCTGCAGGCCTCAGACTTGTACATCCAGGTGCAGCAAGTGGGGAGACTGGGGATCCAGATGCCAGCTACTGGGTAGACCAAGTGTCTAAGGCAAGTTACAAGAGGGATCCATGTTGAATACATGTGTGTATTTCCAACTAAACTGCCCTTCATCCTGATCAGCCAGAGGAGGATGAGGCTGTCTGTGCCATTTGTGTTTCAGTGCCGAGTGTTTCTATCTGTGCATCGCTCGCTGCATGTATGTGTTGCATCTGTGTGCGTGCCTCTTGGGAACACTCAGCGTCACTACTGCTTCTAAATCACAGATTAAAAACAGGGAGCTGCAGCAACCTCACCTCCATCAGGCTACCAGATTTGGCAACTCCTAACAATCTTTAGTTTTTCAGGTGACTGACCCTAGGGCCTGTGTTTTGCTTTGGATTTTTTTTTTCCCCGTGGGAAGGAAGAATTGTAAACTCTGTCTGTGTGTAGAAATTTGCTGCAACTATGTTGTTATGACTGTGAATGTCAGAACTACTGTCCGTGCATAACATAAAGTGTAAAATTTTCAAGATCCTGTGAATTTGAATGGCTTTCTAGGAAGTGTTTTGTATTTGTGTTTATTACTTACCTTTAGTAATTAGCTATGGGACGTAATAGTAATTAGCTATGTAATTAGTAATTAGCTGTGATAGCCTGTGTTGGTTCCTGTTTGCTTTCCTCCCCAGTTGCAACAAAATATTCTGCTGAATTTTTATAAATAAGTATGAATTAATAATGCTGATGAAAGAGAGAGAAGAAGTCGATGTCTAGATCCTAGGTGTATTTGCAAAGATTATGTGTGTAGGATTATATGATTTTTTAAATCAAAATATTCAGGGAACCCCAGAAAATGTGAGTGGCTTATCTTTTAGAGTACCATTAACCTCACTGTAAAAACAAAATAAAATAAAATAAAAAAGTTATCAGTAAGTAGTAAAGCAAATAATTTATTAATATACTTAATATTTTAATATGATTCTCCCTCCTCATAGAATTCTTAACATCTTTTGAAATGCCCCAAAACATATGAAAAATTCTGGGAGTTTGAGTTACAAATTTAATACCCCACCTTTCCCAAAACATGAGGTCTTTTGATTCATGAACTTGATGTAGGATCTATCCCTGCTTGTTCTTTACTTATAAGTGTGGCTCATCAAACAGCAACAGTCAATATTTGGCTGGTAAGCCAACCCCAGAAGTTCATTTTTTCCTGGGGAAATCTCAAAGTAGACCGTGGTTTATTTTCTAACAGCTATAGCAGCCCACTTTCAGTTGCCACATGCTTCAGGAATGAAAGTGAAACCTGTAGACCAGTTCTACTGCTTACGTAGTAAATTCGTATCCGGAGGATGTTAACTACACACAGCTCTTCCCAGATGCATCAATCTT